GAGGCGCGCGGCGTCGCCTCAGAACTGTGCGGGAGCGTCTTCTCTGTGGTGTCTCTGTGGCGGGAGGCGGCGTCGCCAGCCCCGCAGTGTGAGGAAAAGCGAGGCATGGCGGTGTGTGAAGAGACGGGCCAGCCCCCGGGCTACCGCTTGGGGTGAGGAGGTGGCCGCCGTTGGCAGAAAGGCTGGGTTCCGGCGTGTTTCTGGTTGCTGCCGGCCCTTGGTGTTGGAGTCTTGTCACCGAAACTGCAGACCAAACCCGTGCTGGCGATTTAAAAGTAATAAAGTGAGAGGGGAAAAAAAAATAATAATAAAAAGTGACATTTTGTGTGGAACACCCATCCTGAAATGAATGATGAGCTTCATAATGAGGGGCATTTGAGATACAGGGGGTGGATGAAATTTTATAGCTGTGGGAGGTGAGGCAGAGAGATAATTTTCGGCTTGAAGCAATTGTTTTTGGCTCTGTAACAAACCCTTGACATGGCCGTGACTCATATAACTGCCTGGGATAGTGCAATGCTACTTACACAACTTGTTAGCAGAGGTAATTGTGATCGTGCAGCTTATTACCAGAGCTGAATTCAGAAGGACGTGGTGGTGCAATTTAAAAAAAAAAAAAGTACCTGAATAAAATGCAAAGCATTTTCACTGGTTAGTGAGGACCAAACATTCTTTATAAGCACTGAACCTATTACTAGTTTGAGCCTTGCTCATCAAATTCATAACTACAATGCAATTACTCTTTCTTATTTTGAGGTTATATTGTGAGGTGCCACTATCGAAGAGGATCAAGACATTTTGGCTCCAGGGAGACAGGCTCTTAGTAGAGAAGTCTGATTTTCAACAGAGATGTCAGTGAATTCAGTGATGAGAAGATGTGAAAATACATCATTCTTACGAGGTATTTTGTCTCTTATTCCCATTTTCTGGACAGACAGGGAGGGCAGCAATGGTTATAATGCCACACAGGGAATGTAGTGCAAACATGAGAGTGCTAAGCTGGTATTCTTACAGTTGTTTCCTACAACGGTCCACTTTATATACCAGCTCATGAGTGTTAATTTATTTTGAATGTTGATTGACATACAAAGTGTTGAAGATAAACCACAGAGGACCCCAGTGTGTTCCTGCCAACACAGTACACAGCAGTGCTCTGATAACTTCAGATTCATTCTTGAAGCTCTACCATTAAAACAGTGGTGAGTTAAAGTGATCCAGGTAACGACATGAAACTAAGTATCAAAGACCTCACTCTGTTTCAGAATTCCATCTAAATTTGTCAAATCAAGTAGATTTTAAATGGAAGTAGAGTTCATCTGTGCTGGATATATCTCAATTTTCTCCTTGTGCAGACACATTACTATGAGACGTACATTGAAGTGAGAAGTAGACAAAACATAAAAAAGCTATAGGTCAGTTGCTTTCCTTCACATCTCATTATCTTCACACAGCCTTGAGAGGGCAACCGCAGCATATGCCATTCAGTCAATTAACTGAATCACACTCATACTTCTTTCACCAAATATCTGCTACTGTTTCTGATTACAAGCCCAGATTGTGCCTCAACCAGAAATTTTGCTGTCTGAAGGACGAGCTGTCTTTAAGATGAGTCATGCCCACTTTTTTTTAGAATATCAATAATTGTACAGACACTTTCACAAATATCTGGATCTCCCTTTTTATGATGAGACAGCAAATGACAAGGCGGCAGCTAAATGACTAGGCCATGGCTCTGAAAAGCAAACCCTCAAGATGACAGTGAATCACAAACTGGGAATGAGTCAGAAATGTCATGTTGCTGCCAAGAGTCAAGAAGAGAGTGAACGAGTGACCTATAAAGAAAGACTGAAATAATAACTCAGTCTAGAAAAGGTTAAATTGGCAAAATAGACCCTTGCAAAGAGGGAGATGTGCATTGTTCTGCGTGACCACAACTAAATAACAGAAGGAGCAAGGAGATTATCTTGCAAAATAATATTGTACCTGTGAGGTGAGGACGACTGTCATTACCTGGGAGTATTGTGTTATGTCCATCACTGGAAATTTTAGGAGCAGGTGAGACAAATGTCTGTCAGGAACAGTTCAAGTAAAGTTGATTCTGCCTTGAGACAAGAGACTGCACTAAAAACACTGAAGATACCTTTCACAGGAGTTTGCAGGATTTAACCTTCCAGGAGGTTTTCTGATCTCTGCAGTGCGGCAGAAAATGCCATACTCTATACTGCCCTACAGAGGCTGAAAGCCTGCAGCTTTTGTTAAATTGACTTTCAGCTTTCCCATTCTGTTTTGCAGTCTTTCGGTTCAGAAATGTCATTATGAGAACAGACTGTTTCACGTTGTCTCTGGCTGATTCATTGCTTCTAATGCAGAGTACTCGATTGCTTACTATTTCTTGATACCCAGCTGAATCATTCCATTGCTCTTTATTAAATTAAGGTCCAAAGCAATGTCAGCATTCTGAAAAAAAACTAATATGACCCTCTTTTCCAAATCATGATGAGAACAACTTGGTTGAAACTCTTCAGTCCTAAAAACGCATCGCCTTGAACTTTGACACAGTTGCCTCTGCTGCACAGTTTTCAGTTGTCCGTTGCCTGACTCCCAGCGTCCTGATGTTTACATTGCCATCCCCAGAATTTCCTACAGCACGGTCCCATGTGGGGACACTAGTGTCCCTATAGTAGTGCCTCTGAACTAGCAGTATGTCTTCCCAGGTGGAAGCTGCTAACTTCTGCTCTGTTGGTGTTACAAGATTCCTCAGTCAGTGATAGAAGAGTAAAAGATATAGTTACAATGGAAAAACGTGCTCTCACCATCAGGCTTATTAAACTCCTCTGTGACCACGTATGCAGTAATATATTTTTAAATTCATATAAGCGTTTGCAATCATGTACTCTCAGCCTTTTTGTGGTGTATTGTGTCCTTCCACAATAGCTTATATTACAAAGTTCATCTGGAATCATTTAGATTAAGCATTCCGTTTATACAATAAAAGCTCATTTAACATTATATTAACTAATATTTAACATTCTTTATGTTAAATTAACTGATATTGACTGATTTTCATGCTATGAAGATTCTGCTGACAGTAAAATTAAGCTGCCATATGCAGGAAAGTGCTAAGGAGTTTTGTTACCCAAGGTGGTTGTTTTCTGGATGTTTGGGGACTTTTATAGGTAGATGGGAAGTTAATTCCCAGTCCTATCTCAGCCAAAACATACAGGTCAGGTACTCTTTAAATACATATTTTACATTCTTATGCTTATTAAAAGAGACAGAAACATCATCCTGTAAAACTATTTGCCTATGTAGCACTCTCAAGGAAGTTAGTCATAAAATCGTGAAAGAATGACCTATTCTTCTAGTGCCTTTAGGTAATTTTGGGTTGCATACCAGAAAGAAAAAAACAAAAAAAAAGCTTTGCATAGAATCCTATCAAGTCATGATTCATCATTAGGTTCTTTCTCGTCTCTGGTTTCCACAGAATGTTCCTGTAGGGTTTTCTTACCACATACCAGTTGTAGTCTACAAAAGAAACATGATGACACTTTCTTTTCACTAGAGCCCGCTCCTTTCTCACAAGGTGATTTGAACAGTAGTTGGAGGATGGGCTGTAGTTATTTACATTAGCTGGTTCCACTCTCCCCAGACTGACAGAAATTCCCATGGAAATTCTGGTTACATTAACTTTGACAGAGATACAGGACTGGTTTTGGAAACTTTTAAAAAAAACAACTAGGGAATAGTTTTCATTTTTATTAATATGCAGTATCTTCATTTTGTTTATTAAAGAAATAAATCAAGGTTAGTTTCTGCTTAGTTTCAGATGGTTTTCACAGGAGACCAAAAAAGAGAAGTCAGACAAATATTGGCCAAGCATCAACCCAGTAAGAAATCCCATAACAGCAGAAATCCCGAGGTGGACAGCAATAAAGTGAATAGCATGAGAAAAGAAAAGAGAGCATTAAAATGAGTATATTAAAATGAGTATGAGTATAGTTAGCATACTTACTTCAGACATGGAAAGTGATTTTGTGTTCTTGGAGATTAAACACACTTTGATGAGGAATTCTTACAGAACCATTTGATCCGGCTGATGTCCCATCAGATCAGTGTCTCTCTGCAGACATTGCAGTGCACAGTGTCACTTTTTTGTTCTCATAGCTAGCTCTCAATTTGTATTACAAACTAGATGTGTTTGAAAATGGAAACATTAATTTGCAGTGCACCAAGGCTTTCAACACCCCCCGAAATTAGCGCTTTCCTTCTCCCCGTGGAAACTAATGCAAAAGATCTGAGCTTGCACTTTCAGGGGAAATTAAGGGCACTTACAGCCTCAGATTTTTGCCCATCCCTTGAGCTCCCATAACAGATTTATTTACCTTTTGTTGTAGAAACATTTGTTCCTTCACGGGTCATTAGGTTTTCTGCTTCATCAATCACCTAGGTAAGTGGTTAAATGACGCACAGCTTCTGTTTTGCCAAATTCTGTCACCTTCACCTCGTGCAACTAAGCAATGAGCCAGGCACTGAAAAGCAAGAACAAAACTCCAGGCTCCAGCAAGATAATCACTAAAAGTCCGTTTCATTTTCTTTGTATTTCCACTGGAAAGAAAACTGTCATATATAGATGTCTCCACTAGATGTCCATATTTCAGCAATTTTCAATTTTAACTTCAATGAATGTAGCTTCCCTGTGCAAAATGCATAAAAAATGCTATGCTCCATTGAAAGATGTAAATAAGATGGATTTTTGTAT